TAATTTTGAGAAACCCCCATATTGAAACTCCCATGTTCTGTGCACCCGGGTGGCACCAAGGTGGCGCCTAGCCGACACAGGGTGCTGTCACCGCGCTTCCGCGGCGATTTGCCATCCTTCGAGCTTGTCTTACGGTAACTTAGAATTATTACTATGGTGAATATTACTTTTCCTACTACTAGTATTATTAGTAACTGAAAATGAACCCGGATTATACTAGGGTATACAATATTGTGGGTTATATAGGGATAATGNNATAATGGAAAATGAGATGGAAACGACTACTATATTATAGGGTACGGTATAATATCGGGGAATAATGAAAGTGCTGGACTCATTGGATCATCCCTGATTTGCCTTTTGTCTGATTCTTGTTCTTGCGATTTCTTGAATTTAGTAGGACAAATCAGACCAACTGCGCGAGTGCCGCAACCTTGCGTATGCGGGCTCCAAGAACATGGTGCAAGCCTGCGGACCCCGTCTGAGGCTGGGGGCACGAAGGATGAAGAGCAATCATCCACGCCGCAGACCCAAGTTGAAGCACTGCTCTTTTTGCACCGCTTCCAATTATTACCTATTATACTGTAGTAGTTTCCATTTTCTTTTCCATTATCTCTATATAACCCCAATATAATCCTAGTATTTGTACTAAGGAATATAACCCCAATATAATCCTAATATTTGTACTAAGGAAGCTGAGAGATGACTGCGCTATGTTCCCAGTCTGGATACAATTTACAATCTTATTCGGCCCCGCGATACAAAGGCACAACCAGCGGTGATTACTTCCAGACTGAGCAGTCTCATGTTGGGGCAGCCTGATTTGGGACCTAGCTTGATTGAACCATGCGCGCTTTTTCAAAATCGGCGGACTGAAGGGGAATTTAGAACATCCAGGGATTACAACAGGATTATGGTCATCCCTCTCAAGAACTGTAAAGAGCTTATGTTCAGGAACTTCTGTGAAACCTGAACACAAACCGTATGGCCTTGGGCGTATACTATAATACATTGTTTAGATACCGACTTATACCCTTAAGTAGACTCCCTTTCACAACCCTTAGTCAAGGCCACAAGATACGGGCACCTGCTAAACAACGGCACGCACATGGTAGTTTCCCAAAATAAGGGGACCCCAATATAGACCCAAACTACTATAATCCTTATCATGGGGACATGGGAAACCTTCGCATCGTTCAGGCTTCTACATTTTGGGCTCGCTCTTGGAAACAGTCAGCTTCCGGGTGAGCTTACACACGCGCCTCTGCGAACCAGGCTCGACGGGGCGAACGGTCCTTTCGGAGTAACGTGGATTACATATAACTGCACATGCAGATGTGCAGTTGTACACCGGGATAGACGGGTCTGCACTCTGAAACATTGAGCTGTGTGCTTAGCGGGTTCAGGTTCAGGTTTTGGCTTTACGGACCAGTCCGCGAAAATACGGAGTTACGGTTTTGAGCGTAGGGTCTCTTGTCGAAATCTGAATTTCTGGACTAGCGAGCACATTGATTGGGAGCATCGAAACTTCAAGAGAAACGATTTAATTTGCTTTGTCGCCTTTCTTCGATGAGTATTATTATGGCAATACCTTTCAAAGAGATTGATGAGAGTCTCGTGCAGCGTACTCAGATGGTAGTTTTCCCAAATAAGGGGACCAGAATATGGACCCCAAAATACCACACCCCCAAAATCATGCCCCTAATTTTGGGAAACGCTAAGCCCTAAATCCTATATGTCCCTATAGAACCCCTATAATCCCCCTTTAAAGTTCCCTAAGCCCTAACCCTATATCCCCCTGTATAACCCCTACATAACCCCTATGTAAATACTACACTATCCCCCAGATGGGGTGAAGTCAAAGGAGAACTTGCTTGCCTGACCATCTCTGGCGCTATGTCCAAGGTCAGCTGCAACTTTTAGGGTTTAGGGTTTAGGGTTTACGGTTTAAGGTTTAGGGTTCACTGTAAATTTAGTATTAGTATTGATGGCATTGTCATTATGATTAGCACTAGTCTTGTTATGAACTGTACTGCACATGGTAGTTGATCAAGATCCCTGCCCCTAAAACGGTCATTATGGAAAATAACTTCCCTTGATTCTTAAAGGACTACTGCAAGGACCTTTAGATCATTCCTCACATCCCTTCCCTACCCAGCTGGTGTAGCACCAATCTTTCAAGAAAATCCCATCTTTTGCAACATGAAAGCGAATTCCTCAATGCGCAGAGTATTCCTTCCATAAACAATCCAGACTATGGATGGACATAATCCTGCAGGACCCTATATACCCAAACCTAGAGTCATGATACTGTAGTACTTAGCGTCATGCATAACTTTGTCCGTCAACGGTAGCAGAGCCAAACGGGCCGGACACTCCATGGTAGGAAAATTAATCTCCGCATGATGCAATTCGACTATGTTGGGAGCTTGTGCTATTGCAGGGAAGGGAAATTGATTGGATGGTGCGGTGGGGACCCAGCAACCCCCTGTAAAACCTCCAATCAAAACCTCCAATAATGTAGCATCACATCTGCTGCCAAATGTAGGGGTAATATCCCTTCATCATCCCTAGATAGCACCCAATAATATAGAATCGTGCCTCGAGATCCATAGCATCGCTGGGAACTCGCGACCGCGCAGTGGACTCCCGGCCCGTGGACTCGCGGCTGCCCTGAAAGGCTTAGTCATAGTAGTAATAATAGGGGTAATAGTAATGGTGGTAATAATAATAATAACGATAGTAATACTCATGATAGCATTAGTAATTAAAGTGCATCTTCATGGAAATCGTGCAAAGACAGGGATTCAGTATGTAATGGTTATTAGGGGTGATATCGAGTACGTGCGATCGTGGCTGCTGGGAAAATCACTATTTCCCCCCGAGACGAGGACTGAGGTTGCTCAACACATGTTAAGGGTTTAGGGTTTAGGGTTTAGGGTTCTGCATGTTCTTGACAAACTTGCAGATACACCTCCACCACAAAGGCTTGAGCCTACTGAGGGGTGGCTTCTGTTGTAGAAGACAGGGATCCCAATATTATGAACTTACCCGGACCCGCGATTACTAATTACTAAGCTCCCTCCCCTTCATAGGGATTATAATAGGGATCCTAATTAATATTAAGGCCCTTAAAAGGAAGGGGTTTATTAATCATGGGTCTCCATGATTGGAAGTATCCTACAGGACAATAATGCCCCAAGTATGATAAGTCCTGCAAGCAAACTAAGCTACACCCCGCAACCCTCAATTAGGCCCTCAACTCCAAACATAATTCCGTAGACATTTATAAGTTAGGAGGACCCCCCACCTGTTAAGAGGACCCTCAATAAAATAATCCCTACTATCCCTTGTAGTCACGCTTACAGGGAGGGAGGGGTCCTCCTAGCTTATAAGTGCTTCAAGGCATCAAACCCTAGACTCCAGACCTCAAGAACCTACACCCTAAGCCAAGACGAGAAATTCGGGAATATTGTAGTTTCCATCAATGGGGGGGGACCCTAATATAGACCCCAAAATACGTTTATTCACCCCCCAGAAAAAATTTCCCTCAATTTTGGGAAAGCCCCATGTCCACCTTGCGGGAGACCCGCGGCGTGCGAGGGGAGTCCGCCATAACGAACGAATGCGCAAGTGCGCCAAGCGTAAGGATTAGTGCCCGTTTGGGCTCAAGGCTGGGGGGTATGGAATAAAATGGAAACTACCATAATGGGTTCTATATTATTTTGGGGTTATATTGGGATAATGGAAAATAAAATGGAAACTACTATTTGGGTTTTAAGGTATGGGGGCTTCACGTTTTTGGGGTCCAGGGGTTGAGAGCTTGGGAGCTTGAGAGCTTTATCCGGGGGACTAAGGGGTTGAAACTATGTAGCTTTGGAGTGGGTGTCTTACGCGAGTTAACGCCTCCCTTCTCATGTACCCTACAAGTCCCAGTATCAAAAGCTCTTTTGCACGTGAGTTTGCGGAATGCCTCATGAAGGCCTTCGCTTGAGATCCATGTCTTGGATTTGATTCGGCAGCGGGCACCTGTATTAGCGCCTTCACCAGTGGCTACCAGCATCTCCCAGCATAATCTGGCTCTGGGCATGTCTGAGACTTAACCCTAGATGGGAAGGCAACCCTTCTCTTACTGGTTCTCCATAGGGAATAAGGAAAAATGATCCTTATATAATCCCTATATAACCCCTATACAAGCCATTATAGTAGTTCCCATTTAATTTTCCATTATCAAATCCCTAAATACTATATTCCCATATTTCCTACTCAGAACCCGAAAGTTTCTTCGGAATTAGGCTCGCAGCGGTTTTTGCGACTTCGTACATGCGGCTTAGGGTTTAGTCCAGAACTGACCCTCCTAGCCGGTTGCTGCAACAACACGATTCTTGCACCTGATGAAACCTCCATTCTGAACTCCTTAAAGAAGGTTATATAAGGGATTACATAGGGGAGTTTTTTCAAGGTTATGAAGGGGGATACTAGGAGTTAGGCTATAGCTCAGATTGTTAAACCATCGGAATCCGAGTATTGTGATGACTACAGCTTGTGAAACACTATTGCAACTCTGCTAGAGTCTTGGCAGAGAACACATACAAATTGGCCTGGTTACCCTATTATCCTTAACTCTTGAAAGCACACAGGCACACTTCAAGCTGGGCTTGAATTACATTTTGACTGCTCATGTATTGTGACGGCCCCTTGGTTTCCGCTTTGAGCTATTGCGCTGCATATCCCACGAAGACTCTCTACACCCAGAATGCCTCGCGCATCTTCAGGTCCATGTCCTAAGCAGGCTTTGATTTGACTACGCTCCACTGACAAATAACAGAGGTGTTGTATCCGGGCTCAACTGGGAAAATGGAGGGGTTACTCACCACCCTGGAACTTCGTCTGACCTTTGCGGCTCCCGATATATAATCCGCAGTGAAGGAGCAACAAACTGAGCTCATCTGCCCTGCAGTGGCTGCCTGAATCTAAACCCAGATAAATGTGGTAGAATCCATTTCCTTGCCAAGGTATTGAACGCATGTGTTCACATAAACTCTAGTGCAAACTCCTATAGCATCGCCCTTCATAACCCCGCTACTAATTTCAACCCCATTGAAGGGGTTTAGACCCTAAATCCTACAATCCTTTCTAGAACCCCCTTTTGAGGAGCTTAGACTACATATATATATATATGTATATATATATGTACATATATAGATAGCTCACATAGAGATCCAGCTTGCAGGGGGCTTTCCAGCTCTAGCGCAAGCTCGGCCCAAGCCCTTAGTTGGGGATACTTTTTGAGGGGTTCCCATGATAAGGATTAGAATATATTGGGGTCTCAAGCTTCAATGCAGTTTAGGGTTTGGGCCCTCCCCATTCCATCCTACTAAACTTTCGCCAGTAGCCCGTACCCCAACATATTGGTGCATGTTTTGCTAGAGGGGTGGTGGTATTCATACCGGGCTGCTGCTAAGCCATGGACTTTTTTGCATCTAGCAAGGTTTCCTTAGAATGGTGAATTAGCAGAAGTTCCTGAGCAGTCACCCAGGCAGGTTACTGTTGATACTAACAATCCTGTTGCAATCCTGTATACCAGAATACAAGATGCTTGGAAGCATGCCGGATTTTCACTATTTGCCATGTCCTTTTTCGATTTCCTTCTCCATTACTGAGGTGTTAACCCCAATGCAGTATGTAGTAGTTTCCATTTTCTTTTCCATTATCCCTATATATAACCCCTATATGTCTCTTTATTTACTACCCTATAATCTCAGTTTCCATTTCATGTTCCATTTTCTTTTCCATTTGATTCTCCATTATTATGAAATACACCCTATATCCCAATATATAGCCCTGATATCACCCCCCATATCCACCTACTGAGCATCCCCCTATATAGTACATAACCCCTATATATCCCCCTATATTACCCTGTTTAGTATCCACGAGGCCACGGCGGTGGCGACATGGAGCACTGGGAGGTTCCCGAGGTCCTTGGCCACCTGGACAGCTTTTAAAGTAAAGGTATAATATGGCTATATGGGGTTATATGAACTATAGTCTCAACTCCTTAAAAGAGGGTTACATAGGGGATTATATATGGGACTATTATAGGGGTTTTTAAGGGGGATACCAGGAGTTTAGACTATAGCTCATATGGGGTAATATAGGGCTCCTGGAAAAGGAAATGGAAACCACTTTTAGAGTGCTTGAGGTCCAACCCTAAACCCCGCCCCCTAAGTTGTAGAACCTCCACCCTGAACCCTAACCCTGAACCCTAAACCCTAAACCTAAACCCTAAACCCTAAACCCCAAAACCCTAACCCTGAACCCACAGGGCGGCCTCGGTAGGTGGGCCTTGAGATGATCTTGGGGTCTTCTTCCGTATCGGGGTCGACCGCTGCTTGGGGGTCTGTGCTTTAAGGCTTCAGGATTAGGGCTTCTTAAGAGGCAACATGGATGAAACCCATGAGTACGTCTTGCACTGGCTGGACTCTACGGAGTTCACACCATGAGCAGGCAACGTTTAACACGCCTGCGAGATGGCTTTTAAGAGTTCACAGGTTGTCAACAGCAGTCTTCTTAAAGTTGGATGGGGGGATTTCTTTGTACTGTTAGCAGGGTAAGCAGGGAAGACACTTTATGGAAATGTATGGAAACCAATCCTGTATCCTAATGAGATTCCCATGAGCCCTCCAAATACCAAGCATCAGCCCCACAGTCTTCTGTAACCTTAAACTCTAGACCGCATGCCCCAAACCCCTGCAATATGAAATCCTTAAGCCTTAAACCCTGCAGTGTCCTCAATACTGAACCTTGTAGCCTGAATCCTAAGCCGTTCAAGTCCCTATAAAGGATAAGGCCCAGCCACCTCCAAAATTGGAAGCAGGTCCTGCCCACAGGTTCGGGATTTTGGGGCATGAGGGCTCCATGTATGAAACAGGGAGTCCCTGCATGAGTAACGCCTTTGTGAAGGTAGAATCAAGTGAGACGATGTTATTTCAACAAACTAATGTACCTCAAAAGGATATACAATGTAGTCTTACTTCTCCTTGGGACTATAGCATCCTCTTTAAGTATTCTACTCGACTCGAAGGGGCTACGGTTTAGGGACCCTGTGTTTGGCACGTTTCTAGGGCCCCAAGGGTTGGCGGATCCTGAGTTAGGTCCCTCAAGGAAAACAAGGGGAAGCCCCTCATTTAGCGTCTCATATAGGGGACTGTTTCCTAGAGAGAAGACAGGCCCACTAAACAAAAGATACTCCTGTCTCTGAGCCCCCACACTCGCACCCTCATCTGGCACAATTCTGAACCCCAAACAATACTGTCCAAACCCTGAACCCCAAACCCGAATCCCCCAAACCCTAAAACCCAAATAGTAGTTTCCATTTTATTTTCCATTAGCCCAATATGACCCCAATATAGCCCTCGCAACAGAGCAAAGGAGGCCCGTCCATGTGGTAGACCGTCACCTGAACGGTGATCCACTCTGGGATTTTTGGGGCCTCAAGGGTGCAGGATTTGGGGTTTAGAGTTTAGGGCTTGGGGTTTAGGTTTTGGGGTTTAGGGTTTGGGGTTTAGGGCTTGGGGTTTAGGGTTTGGGGTTTAGGGCTTGGGGTTCAGGGTTTGAAAGTATGGCCAGGTGGTGTAAGCCCTCTGAGGCACCCAACTCTTGCCTGGTCTGCAGGGAAGCAAGGAACGGACCCAAATTTGGAACATTCGAAGGTTCCCTAATTAGGGGTACTTTTCCTACTTTTGGAAACTAACCTCCATCTCAAGATTGACGCGGACAGGTCTTAGTATACGCACAACGGCTTCATCAAACGTTTCTAGGAGTTGTCTTTCTTATAGCCTTACCCCTGATCAAGCTTGCCCTTGCCAAGCGTTATCATAACTAAAGACTAGTCTGCCAAGGGTGCAAAGTGGTTGCTCCCATGCAAGAATGAGCCAACTGATGTAAGACTCCTGGCAGCACATGTCTCCTGACCACAAGGTAGACGATCGCCTTGTATTCCCTCCAGTTTGAAGTCATTGAATCGAATGTTCCACTCCGTAGAGAGAATGGTGGTTTTGAACACGTGAGTTTAGATCTGCGGGTCCTCAAATCGGACCGGGTACAGACGCACCTGTCAAAGAGTTGTTCAGTTAGAGGTGCGGGCGGCAGAGGAGGTACATAAGAATTCAAATCCAAAGACCTTGACAAAACCTCTGAGGCTATTTCCGTGAGTTGTTGAGTTCAACAGCACAGCTTGAACCCCAGAGAACTAACCAAAGAAGGTGGAAGGGTGGACGGGCAAAAAAAGGGGAAGACTGGAGGGGAAATGAAGGACAACGTCAAGTCTAGCAAAAGATTGCGGCTTTGCTGTTCTGCCGGTCCTCATGATGGGGTCCCCGGGTTCGTGCAGACTGATGTAATTGGCGGAGCCGGACCATCGCTCACAACGCACCTCTCCACAACCCCAAAGCCTTACCCCTAAACATCAACCGTAACTAACCCTGAACACTACACGTCACGTTGCTTACCGGGGGATTAGTAGGGAATGATAAGGGAGTATAATCCCACAAAATCCCTGTGTACTATATACTCCCTTATTCCCTACTACTCACCAGTAGAGTCCTACACCCTTCGCAGCAGCTAAGGATGTCACGACAATGTCGGGCTTCATCTCCAACAACACATGTCTAAAGGCATCCTCGTAGGCTCAAGGCTTCTCTGGGGTTTGGGGGTTACTTACCGTTGTTTCCCATATTCACGGTCTGAGAAGGTTAAGGGATGGGGTTTATTTCTAGGGCTGAGAGAGAGAGCTTCAGAAATACAATAGGGTCTAAGGTTTAGGGTTCAAGGTTTAGGGTTCAAGGTTTAGGGTTCAGGGTTTAGGGTTCAGGGTTCGGAGTTTAGCGTCTATGGTCCTTGAAGTTGTGCGTTTGAGGCGCAAGCGGCTCTTTGGAAAAAGTCTCGGACTTGGGGTTTGGGTTTTAGGGTTTACTGAGCAAGTAGACCAGGGTTTGCTTATGCTTCCTGATTTCTTGATAGACAAGGAAATGCTGAAAACCTGAGCCCATCAACATACAGTGCCGACAGGGCCGCACCCTTAACCCTTTTCCAACAACCCGCAAACATCACCTTGTGCAGCAGGAGGCTTCTCTCCGGTTCTTGAGGATAATACTGACAGTGGGGTGAAAGCTTTCAAGTTACTGTGCTTGAGGGTGCATAGGCAGCCTCCAGATTCCAGTGCTTTCTCTTTCCGGGAAGACAAAGAAGTCTGCGGCCGTGGAAGCCGCTCGTAAAGCCTCCTTCGCCCTGGACACAAACTCGGATTCCAAACTGCCAGACCCCAAACCAAGAACTTTAGGTCTCTACCTAACCCCTCGTTCTGTAACTTTAGACGTTTCTCCCTTCAACCCTACCTCCTAAGTTCCTACTTTGAGGCCCTCATCCACATACCATCTGTGTCCCGGATGACAAATCAATAAACCACATAGGGCACAGAATTTCTACCCTCCCTTCAGCAGTCTGGCACTCCCTGCAAAAGGGCAATAAGTCTACGATCATTCCGTTTATGGATCTAGACTTGTGCCGGGCACAATATACCCTTTCTTGCCTGCACATCCAAGTAGAAATTGCATTTACTCACATACCAGTCTACCATAGATCCTACAGCTTGCTCAGAGTATGGTTCAATGATTGCTTGCGGAGTGTAAATCCTGGGTTGCTGTTAAGGAACTTAATTCAAGTTACTATATTGGGGGAACCATATTAATTACGATATATACCCATTCTGGTAACTTAATTTAAGTTCCTTAACAACAACCCAGTATCTTGAAGGTCCTTGGTCGGATTGTTGCAGGATGGAGACGGACAGGGCGTATTCCACCGGCCGAAGATGAGCGAGCCTGGTCAATGATGAGACTGATGTGGGTTGCCAAGGAACTGAGGTGTTGGTTTAGGGTTTAGGGTTTAGGGTTTAGGGTTTAGGGTTTAGGGTTTAGGGTTTAGGGTGGGTGTCCCAAAATTAGGGGGTACCCTTTTGGGGGGTCCCCATAATAAGGATTATAGTATTTTGGGGTCTATATTGGGGTTCCCCTACTTTTGGGAAACTACCATATAAGGCCAACATATTACCCGCCAAAACTCAAAGTCAATTCAAAAATGAGATCGAAGCTCGGGTGATATGGGGATATCAAGGAATTTGGGGAACTGAAACTAAGTTGCCATTACTAGTAAACTGTATAACTTCTTCTACCTCCATATCAGGACAACTTAATTTTAGCACTTGAACAGCAACCCAGTCCTCTGATCATAACCTCATCCCCCAGATAAGGGCCCTGTAACACTGTAGAAGTCATGAGTCATATGACATTAAGGTCAGGATCTTGAGTGTGGATGTTGCTATCTTCAAACAACTTCCTGCAATAGGAGTTGTCGCAGAAATTGATTCCTATCTAGGAGGATGCTCTCACTGCAAGGGATTGCATTATCAGGGGCTGTTGGAATTACAACGCGGTGTTTTTCTGAGAATACACAGGGCTTGGGTTTTGCGTGGAAGGACTTCTCAAGAAGGTTGATACTATGTTGGAGGTCCCCCTCCCAGATCTATTAGAACCCTGGATGGATAAACATGGCTGGAACCTACAGACACTAACAATGAGAAGCATGCAATGGCAAAGCCGACAACACCTGCTTTTGCGCGCCACCAGCACCCATTAAGAGTGGCAGGATTATAGTCCCCCTTAAGTAGATAGAATATGCGGTATATGGGGATCTTATTATAATATACCCAAAGCCATATTCTATCTACTTAAGGGGGACTATAGGGTCTAGAGAGTTCAGGGTCCAGGGTTTGCAGGGCTTCAGGGGTTGTAGTCGTAGGAATTCGTGTGCCGGATCAGAAGGTGCGGGGGGTCGCTTTAAAACTTTGGCTTTTGAATCAAGGCTTCAGTGCTGTAACGGTCCGAAGTTTAATGTACATGTTCCAAGGGTCCATGCCCCACGGGCTCAACTCCCAGCGAAGACCGACAATTTTTGCGCATTTGGTGGTTTGAGGTTCAGGAGATGTACGACTTGCGTGCTCAGCGTGTATTGGCATCAGTTTTCATTAGGGGTCTTGGTGCTGGAGGGGTTCCGGATTTAAGGGTGAGCAATAGCTGGAACACTGCAGATGGCAATAGTCATGAAGCACTTTTGGGAACAATCAGAACTCACTATAATTACTTCATCGTGCTCCTGCAATGGCGGCTTCACAGTTAGTTTGCTCAGGCATCTGAAGGATCACGTTCAGGAGTACATTCTGTGAGAGATTTCAGCAGGAAAAAGGCAAGCAACGCAACCCTACGGTGCTGCGCAGAGTGCTGTTGGAAGACATCAGATGCTCGGGTGAAGATATGTTCCATCAACTTCACAGCTGAAGAGACCCTTAGCCCGCATAATCCCCAAACCTCCAAAATCCAGAAAACTCTGAACCCCTGCACCCCCCCAAATCTTAACCGCAAAAACCCTAGACCCTACACCGCAGAACCAAGTCTTGCGCCCACGGACTCGATCATGTTCTGAATGTTGTACATCTTCCTCCGGCTTTGCGCTTTCAGTTTATTGTTTGATGGCAGATTTATACAGCTTTTATCGTGATAGGAGCTAGAATTTAGTCCGGAGTTCACTCAGGTAGCCGCCGAAGCATTGGATTAAAGGTCAACCCCAAACGTAGCAAGTCACTGAGGCATGGCAGAATATGCCCGCCCCCGCTTTTGAAATCAAGTTCGGCTGTTTGCGGCCAAGAGATGTTTGGGATATGAAAGCTGCATGCATGTGGCGGAAAGTGTGTGGGTGTAGAAAGCCTGCAACCCTAAGCTCTAAACCCTACATCCAGCCATCATATCCCAGTATGCCATCATGACACTCATCAAATCATCCATCAACCGCTGCTTACAACTCGAAACTGGCCTATAAATCCTTCTGGTACAAGAGCCAGACAGAAGTCTCAAGAACAATGAGGAGGATCCTAAAAGAACTAACCTAGCAGTAGTCAGTAGTACCCTAAACCCTAAACCGTTGCCAGAACCAATGACCGAGGTGGGGAGCAGAAGGAAGCTGCCCTTCCAGAATTCCTAAGCTCAGAAAGCCTGCAAAAATAACTTCTAAATTAAGGTTTACCTACCCTTAGAGGCGGGCTAGGTAGGTCTTACTTGTGTATCTGGGAACTTACGGGGGTCTAGGTAGGTTTTGGGGCTTAGGTTCCTAAATCGAAGAAGCAAGATAAGGCTCTGACCACCGCAGAACCATCCGGTTGTACCACACGTCCATAAGCCGTGCTGGGCAAAGACAAAAACTTGTTCACTACCTAATGCTGATATAGAGGGTTCGTGGAGGTATATGAAATTTCAGATTTAAAGTTTGGGTTGTGGAAAGCATGAAATGGTAAACCAAGCGGAAAATCAAATTGAGAATGGATGCACGTGTAGAAGCGTTCTGTAGGAATTCATCCCCCTTGTTAGAAACACTCGTGAATTTGGGTGCTTCTGTTGCTTGCAATAACTTCATAGGGCGAGCTAAGACCCAGACAACAGGAACAGTTGACATCATGCAAGCAGATATGCTGCTGAAACATCTTGAACCCTTTATAACCTGTAAAATCCCACGTTTCTCACCTTTCAGATCCTAATTTGCTACCGCGCTGCAACTGCCAAAGCTGACACCGCAGGCACAATTCCGACTCCGAGGTTCCCGGCCACCGAGCCGTTTCTGCACCCAGTCCTCAGGCCACATATCCTAGTGCTGGGGAGCGCCCTAAACCCTAAACCCTACAGTAGTTTCCATTTTCTTTTCCATTATCCCAAGATAACCCCAATATATATGGATATATATATATATATAACCTATTATAATACATTGGTTTCCATGCTCTTTTCCATTATCCCAATATAACCCCTATATAGTCTATAGTACCCTATACTATCCCAATATAATTAACATGTCGTCTATATGTCCATGTCAGGACTCCCACTGCAAGCCTCCTACACAGGAGGACACCCCCAAAGTGGGATCACTGAAATATCCTATGTATTATTTATATTGGGATAATATAGGGTAATATAGACTCTATTGGGTCATGTAGGGAGAATGGAAAAGCAAATGGAAACTACTACAGGGTTTTGCCCATGAAAGCTGCGTGTGATTTTCGACTAAACAAATAAACGAGACTTGGGGTGTTGTGGGATTGCCCTCAACTTCAGAGCCTTAAACCCTAAACCCTATAGTAGTTTCCATTTTCTTTTCCATTATCCCAATATGACCCCAATATATATAACCTATTATAATATGGTAGTTTCCATGTTCCCCTTGCACAAGCAACTCAGTAACTCCTCGAAGCGGGGATCGTGCGTCGTGTCTACAGCTTCCACGCTGAAGCCTGCTGCCTGGGGAATCTCCCCGTGAAGCCGGGCGGGCTGTGGGGTTGAGGCCTCGGGCTGTGTCACTTTTTAAATTTGGTAGTTTCCCAAAATAGGGGGACCCCAATATAGACCCCAAAGAACTATAGTCCTCATTATATGGACCCCCAGAATGGTACCCATAATTTCGGGAAACCCCCATTTATGCATCCAAAGAGCTCCGAGGGAGAACTAGCTAAGTACAGCTCGAAGGCCTGCAATAGAAAACGCTCAGATGCCCGGCTTCCCTGAAATCCTGCGATCAAGAATTATATGGGGATTATATTGGGAGTATATAGGGATTATATGGGATTGCAATGGAATGCTTGAAGGCCCTATCGATTTGATTTGGGATTATTTGCTCACAACATCTCCACCCTCAGGCTGAGGCATTCTGAAAGAATTAGAGGGTTTATGGTGTATACCTCAGTTGTGACAGGCCCTTTGCCAGCACGCTGCATCAGGGCTTTTCATGCAGACTCCTCCAGCCCTACACGGGAGTGGATAAAAAAATTCAACAGTTTCCCCATAGGGCCTTTAGATCACCATCGCCAAATCAGGCAGCACTCAAGTAAACCAAAATGGTGGTTTCTCACAACAAGACAATCTTGTAGGGAACCCCAGGATATGCAGGGACAATTTAGAGATTGTGGAGTTCTTAATCCTTAGATGGCCCCCAGCAGCCAATCCTTTCAAAGCCTCCGGGGCCTCGAGGAAGTCTTCGACCGCCTGCTGGGCAGACTTATGGCCATCCCCATAACTGCAGGTGAAGATCACCTGGAGAGGGCAAAGTGGTTTTGAGAAAGGGGGGGGGTAATCCCTAAACCCTAAACATCCCTAAACCCTAAATTATGGGAAGGAATTCAAGGCGCCCAGGAATCTAGGGGATGAAAAAGGATCATGAGGACCCCTTATTATATTGTGCGAAAGGCGTAATTATGGTATATTTTGAGGTTCACCAAAGGTGTTGCGGATTTGAGGATGCTAAGGGTTCAAGCGAAGGTGTCGGGCTTCGGATTCATTTTGCACGGCTAGAAGAGGGTGCATGTACGACTACCTCTTCCTGCCATTGTGTACATTTCGTAACAAGCTTCGGTGCTGTTGGGTCAGCTACGGAGTTTGGAGCCCGCCGTGGATGCGTCCACCTTGACAATGAAGGATCCAAGGCTTGGGGTTTGGCTTCAGGAGGGGAATGGGCTCATGAGCCCATTGCATGACCAGCTGGACAGCGGACTTGCGTTTTCGGTAGGTCATTCACAACTTGCTACTACTGCTGTGAATGGTCACTCCTATTATCTGGGGACATTACACGGAAGCAGCATGAGACAAATTGTGTTTGGGTGTGATTTGTTAGCTGCATTTCGTAACAACCATGTACATGGGGAGGTGCCATCACCCCCTCCAAGACAACCTTCGTGCAGCCCTACATGCCACAGACGAAGTTGATATCATATGGAGCCCAAAGGCCAAGCAACACAAGAAATATCATCACCGCAGCAGGGGTACTTGTCTCCTTTCTTTTGTAGAAACGATCATAATCCTCTGCTCTGCGTACCATTTCACCTAGAATCACAATACTCTTGGGCACTCCGAAAATGACGTTCATTTCAAAATCGGACAACCACAATTTGGGGAAATTGTCGGAATTACTCTGAATGGCAATGAAAGTAGTAGTAGTAGTAGTACAAGTAGTACACTCCCGGAAACCAACATGGAAACCCAAAAAGGGCCCCATAAAGACTACAGTCCTGTTAAAGGGGGGCTATATGGGTTTCCATGTTAGTTTGCGGGAGTGTATTGCCGTCGTTGTCGTAGTAGTAGTGGTAGCAGCAGTAGCTGTAGTAGCAGCAGCACTAGTATCAGTATTACCTAGGTTCCCCAGTAACCCCTTGATAATAAGGGTACCCTTTTTCCTACTATCCAGCTTTAATGAAGACACCCCGATATAAAAGGGAAAAAGGATACTACTGGGGTACCTAGTTACTAATGGTGGTAATAATTTCCCAACATGGGGCAAACCTGTACATGGATCTGGATGAGTAGGTACCCAAAGAAGGACCCACGTTGTTGTTGAGTTGGGAAATCTCCCATTTTCTGCTTGCAACCCCTCTATAACCTACGTATGTAACCCTCCTCCTATAATCGCTCTGCTCACAGACTTCAGTACTACTACGTTCATCCTGCTTTATCGGTCAGGAGGAGATGGAAGAAGGGATCCCCAAAGCAAACCCTGAATAACCCGCAACGATACTCCCCATGTTCCCACTCCTTCGTTCCCTACCAACCACCCTAGACACCGAAATCCTCAACCCTAAGCCATAAATACAACTGTAGTTCCGCTTTCCTTTCCATCCCTTCATTCCCTACTCACCACCAGTAAGGTCCAAAGGCCCTTCACGCTATGCCATATAACCACGACAAAGTTACTCCCTACCATACTTTCTGAACCCTATGCACACCTATGTTTCCTTACATAACCCCAAGGCAAAAATCCTTACCAGGAAGGATCCAGCCGAGGCACAGCGCTCCGGCTTTGCGCCTGGAGCCCCTGGGCCAAGACCGCTTCACCTTCACGGCTTCAGGGTGGCGGTTAGGGTTGGGCGGGGCTGGAAGAGGCTGGCTTTAAGATCTGGGATTTAAACTTTGTAGGATTTTCAGTGAACTGGTTTGGGACTCAAGGTGCCTCGGAGGCTGGCCGAATGAGGGCTCCAGACCGCCCCAAACTGATGCTCATAATGCTGGCCAGTTGGTGGCCTCTTGTCCCAAGCACGTCCAGCTGATGCTCATGATGCTGGTTGCTTACGTTCCATGGGTCCAGAGCGCCCCCAACTGATGCTCATGATGCTGGCTGTTTGGTGGCTCTTCGTCCCAGGCACGTCCAGCTGATGCTCATGATGCTGGCCGCTCTCGTGCCATGGGTCCAAAGCGCACCCAACTGATGCTC